CAAGCATGAGAGCTCATGTAGCAGAGGAGAGAAAGAGAGTTAAGGCGACCATGGTGCACTTGGAGCTGAAGGTGGAAGAGCTTCGATGGAAGGTGATGTCGGACCCCTCGTCGCAGGCTTTGTACGAGGAGCTGATAAAGAATGAAACGGCCCTCAAGCTCTACCAGGGGAGCAACAAGGAGAGGCTGCAAGTTCTGACGGGGATGCTGCAAGAGCTGGCGGGGGAGACTCCGTCAGGTTTTCTGTCAGGCTTGGTCAAGTCCAGAAAGGCAAAAACTGAAATAGCGGAACTTACCTTCAAAGGGTTGTTGAGAAAAGGAGCAAGCGAGGTGCTGCAATCTGCCTCGGAGCATTTCCGAGAAGCCTACGCGCTGTCGCCGGCGCCCTCCCCTGCGGAGCCATGGCCGATCGAGGAGGGAAAGACGCTGCAGGAGAGCGATCGCATGCAGCTGGACAGCGAATGGTCAGAGCAGGAAGTAAAGGCGGCACTAAAAGGCTTACCGGCGGGGAAGGCCCCGGGGCAGGACGGCCTGCCAAAAGAATTCTTCGAAAGAAACTGGGAGCTGCTGGGCCCGGCAGTGATGAGAGAGGTCAAGAGCTTTGAGTCAGCAGGGGTGCTTTCGGAGTCTTTCACAACGGCGGTCACGATCCTCCTGCACAAAAAAGGAGACAGGGACGACTTGGGAAATTACCGACCGATTACTCTACTGAGCTTCTTCTACAAGTTGCTGGCGAAGGTGTTGGCAAACAGAGTCAAGGTGGTCTTACCGCGTGTGATCTCAGCCAACCAGTTCGGCTTTCTTCCGGGGAGGAGTCTCGCTGACGCTGTCTCTCTGGTAGCAGATGCGATTGATGCTGCGGAGCAGGAGGAGGAGGATTGGCTGCTGCTGCTGGTTGATTTTCAGAAAGCTTACGATTCGGTATCACGTGAATACCTCTTCGCGACATTGGGCAACATGGGTTTCCCGGAGAAGTTCACAAGATGGGTAAAGGGTCTCCACGATGGAGCGGCAACCAGGGTACTGTTGAACGGTTGGATTGGGGAGCGAGTAGAGATGGCAAAAGGGGTGCGCCAGGGCTGCCCGCTCGCCCCGTATCTCTTCCTCTGCGCGGTTGAGCCTCTCTGCCAAGAAATTCAACGGAGGAAACTGGGGGTCAGGAAGAGAGGGGTGAAAGGGAGCTTAGACTACATTGGATACGCAGACGACACGACGCTGGTCTTGAAGGGCAAAGAGCAGGTGGTGGTTGCTGAGAAACTGCTGGGGGAGTTCGCGGCAATCTCAGGACTGAAGGTGAACCGGGATAAGACAACATTGATGCCGCTCGGGAAAAATCGAAGGAGGCTGCAGCCGATAGCGTCGTCTTTCAAGTGGGCGGCGAAGAATACATCTGAAAGGCTGCTCGGAATCTGGATCACCTCTGGAGGCTCGCCGGGACCTGCATGGGACAAGGCTTTCGAGAAAGTTAGCGCGGTGCTGAGCTGCTGGGAGACTAAGCATCTCAAAACCTCGGCACGGGTAACCATCATAAACAGCTACGCGATGCCGATTTTGCTCTTCCAGGCGCAGATCTATGCCCCACCGTACGAGGTCTGGACCAAAGTGAAGAGGCTCTGTCATAATTTCATCTCCGGTGGGAAAGCGCTCCTTGATAGACACTTCACGCTATGGAGCTATGAACTGTCGTGCAGAGGACGGAAGGAGGGGGGCTTGGGGGTGATTGATCTGAAACACCGGATTGACAGCATGGTGATCCAAGGACTGGGAAAGGCCCTGGTGGAACAGGAGCCACTTCGAAACTGGTTATGGGAGAGGGCGGCGGCTTTCCCCCTTGGCCTAGCCACGGTTTACGCGCACCCTTCGGTCCTGAAGTCCTGGCTGGGAGGGGGCACGAGATGGAAGGCCACTATTAAGGCACTGTGGGACTCAAAACTTGTGGACATAGGCGATCCGGCTCACAGATGGGACGCAGAGGAGGAGCAGTTACTTTTCAACCGAAGTATTTTCTTCAGAGGCAGATCACCCTTCGGTAACCAGGCGGGCTCGCTCTGCCTGAAGGGCATCCGACTGGGGGACTTGGTGGTGAAAGGAGGAGACGGCAGCAGAGCTCGTAAGAGCGATGAGGTTCTGGAGAGGGAACTGGGAGGCGTGGAGCAGAGGAAATGGGCCCTGAAGGCGTGGGAGGCGACACCGCAGAGGTGGAAGGATATGGTGCTCAACCAGCTGTCGGCAGAGGAATTTTTCAGGGAAACGAGTTTGGTCCGCTCTGCGTCTTACCGCCCGGGGGAGTTCTTTTATTATCAGCTGCAATATGTGAGCAACGGTGAACTTTACGGTCGAAGAGTGACGGTTCACCCATGGCAGTCATAGAGGGAAGGCCCGCGGTTTACTCGGCGCTCCAAGAACGCGACTGCTCTACTCTGCAATCTGTGAGAAAGGCGAGCGAGCGGATCTAAAGAAGTTGAGGAAGGCGATGAAACCCTCGCTGGCGCAACCGAAACAGCAGCTGAAGTGGGAGGAGGAGTTGGGGAGGAAGATCGGCTGGGGGAAGGCTATCACGGTCCGTGACTCACTGGCAACTCCATGCAAGGCGCGAGAGGTGATACTGAGGGTGCACAGTAACAACCTCCAAGTAGGGGAGCGGCTCCCCTTCTTGGGTGCGAGGGCGAAATGCACGCACTGTGGCGGAGTTGAGTCGCAGGATCACTGCCTTTTCAGCTGCCCGGTGATCCAACCTGTGGTGGAGGTGATGAGGAAAGCGGTTCAGTGTATGAACCCGGGCAGGGACATGCGATCTCTCGGGGACATGCTCTTCCAAAGGAGTGGCACGTCGACTGGCTTCCCAGAGGCTGCAATCATATCCATAACAGCGCATCAAGTCTGGCTGGAGAGGTGCAATGCGGTTTTCCGAGGTAGCCGGTTCCAACCAAAGAGAGCATTGAGACGCATGGCAGTTGGCTTCACGAGGCACGTGAAGATCTACAGCAGAGCGCGGAAGAAAATGGCTGGCAGGAGTGCTTCGAAAAGGACGGGTGACTGGAGCCACTTGAATGCTGACGAAGCAGGAGCTATGCGCAGGCTCTACGAGACAGAGGCCTCGATGACGTGGAGAGCGGGTTTTAAGGCGATCTGGGAAGACGGCGGTGTTGCTTTCCAACCTCCATAAAAGGATAAGGGGGGCTCTGGTTGCTTGGATACTTGTAACCTCCTCATGCCCTCCTAGCATCAGTTACGACTGCGGATGTATGTATGCTGGTAGTGTACTTATATCCACCAAAAAAAAAAAAAAAAAACTGTTGTAACCATTTCACCCAAGGCACATTTACGAACGATGGGCGGGTGGTTCGCGAAACATCACCTGGGCTAGCGAAGAGGGGGTTGACGCTGGAAGTTCGTGTGGGGCAAGTCGCTGCCGTGTTTGTCGGGACATTTCCTGTGTCCACGGAAATGCCTGGTGCCGCCCAACAATATCAACATTGCGGTCTGGTCCAACATTTTCTGCACATTCTGTTTTCGCATCACCTTCCGTCGGGGACGTGAGACTTTTGCGACAGCTCACGAAGCAAAACCCAGGTGGATGGGGTTCTTCAGGTGATAAGGAGGAGCTTGAATCGCGTCGCATGTTGAGAATTGTGGCGTGAATCTCGATCAAGCATGATGCGGCGGAAGTCGCCTGAGCCTCACTCAGATTGATGTCTTGGGCGGCATGGGCGAGGCTGACTGAGGGTGAGCTTTTCTTCTCATTCACTTATCAACCCTTCAAGAGAACTTCTCGTTCACATTTTCAGCTAAAGGTGTTTTTCGCCTCTCCACGTACAGTCGTGCAGCCTTTCCTGCTATTGCATTCTTAGGTTAAGCCATTTCCGTCCTCCACCCGCCATGGGCCAGCTCTCGGTTCTCGCCGCCGTCTGCACGCTCGCATTGCTGCTGGCATCTGCTGCCGCGCGGCCCAGCAAGGAGGATCTGATCAACGAGGTGAAGGCGGCCCGGGAGGCGCTGAACGACCCCAAACTGAACGGAAAATACAAGAGCAGCGGCGCGTTCGTTGACCAGCTCGTCCCGATCCTGGGTAAATCATGCTACTTCCTCTCAGTAGTGAATCTCCTACACATGTTTTAATCCTCGCAGCGTTAAAATTCCCAAATGGATCATGATAACTTCGTTTGTTTTCGGGCAGTCGTTTTGATCACATAAGAATTTTCCCTTTTGTCATTCAGAGACCGACTGGAACCCAACGGACGCGTATCTCGCCAACACCGAGGGGAAAACCGTCCTCCTACCCGACGATACCGCCATCGCTTCCGCGGCGCCTGACGCGGTTACCACGTTCGCGAAATCCAAGTTCAAGCGCGGCGACGTTACCTCGTACGGGAATTGGATTCGCGCGAACATGCTGGACGGAGTGTACGAGGAGGATGACATTAATAACGCGAAAGACCTGAAGAACGCGAACGGTCACAGCGTGGGTACAGCAGAGATTCTGGACTCCAAGACTGGCAAGAAGAAGGTGGCGATCGGGAAGGGCAAGGCGAAGATAAAGACTCCGACGATTTTCAGAGGGAAGATCTTTATTATGCATGGCGTGGATGCTGTGCAGCCGCGGGAGGTGTAAGAGTTTGTGCTTGTAGCGATGCCAGTTGTTTATTGTATGTTGTGATGTGATGCCAGCTATTTCTCTTGCGGTGATGCCACCTTGCAAGCATCATATACCGTAGTTTAGGGCATACATACGGCTGAGAAAACCCACATCCAACAGGTTGTAACAATAAGTCCGGTTACCACTGGTAGCCGATCTGTAATCCTATTGCTTGAATGCCGAACAACTTTCTGGCACAGCCAAGATCGGGAAAACTCATCACATCCAACAGCCCTCTACTGTCCCTCTATCACCTCCCTCCCTGTGCTAACACCCTCTGAATCATGATGATTTTCCAGAAGAATGATTAACTGGAACATAAAACCTTTGCGACAGGAGTAGAAATGACGTCAAGGGATGTGGTGTCATGTACCTTTCATCATGTGAGAAGGCAGTGGGGGGTAATAGAAGTCACTAGCTTTGCCTTTCTTCCCTGCTTTGCCCGATCCACCACCCGTATCATTCTCTCCCTCCAGGGCCTCCAAACTGTGCCTAGAACTTTGTTCTGCCGAATCGTCCGAAAGCAACATGGAACCTTCCGTGTGTGCAGGTTGAGTCGGCAGCAGGGATTGTGAGGGTGTGGCAGTGGGCGGGGTGACGAGCGATGCAGGCAGGGATGAGTCAGCAGATCCAAGAAAGTGGGCACACAGCATGGCCTGTATGGTTTGCACCAACTGGCACAGGGGTGGGTGCGCATGGGAAGCATGGGCAGAGGATGAAGCATAGGCACACAGCATGGCCTGTATGGCGTGCACCAACTGGCATGGGTGCACAGGTGAGAGTGCATGGGGGGGGAAGATATAGAATGTTGATAAGGCACACAGGGGACAGGCAGAGGATGAAGCATAGGCACACAGCATGGCCTGTATGGCGTGCACCAACTGGCATGGGTGCACAGGTGAGATATAGAATGTTGATAAGGCACACAGGGGACAGGCAGAGGATGAAGCATAGGCACACAGCATGGCCTGTATGGCGTGCACCAACTGGCATGGGTGCACAGGTGAGATATAAAATGTTGATAAGGCACACAGGGGACAGGCAGAGGATGAGGCATAGGCACACAGCATGGCCTGGCACCAACTGGTACAGGGGTGCGGGTGCATGGAGGGAGAAGCATGCTAAGATGGTACACAAGGGAAGAGAAGGAAATCATGATGAGGGGGAAGGCGTGATGAGAGAGAAGCAAAAAATGTAGAGTATGGAGCAGCAACGGAAGAGGATTCAAGGCTAGGCCTGGTACACAAGGCACGTGGCTTTGCCTCACAGAACCAATGCGCTGACTTGAATGCACGGTGCAATGCAATGCAGCACTCACAGCCTGCCGCAATCAAGTCCAAGCCACCGCCTCTCACCTCCTGCACACCAACACCCGCCATGGTTGACACTCGCAGGGCCGCAGCCGGTCCGCCGTGAGCCTTGTACTCCTCCCACGCCACCGCCACGCTTGCTGCTCTCACTGCTACTTCTGCGCTCTCCTCCCCATGTGCTTCCCGCACTGCCTCGGCTTCACCCAGCAGCACCGCAGCGGTATCCCTCCTGTCCGAACCACTTCTTCTATCCCCATCCGCCTCCTCTGATTGGCCGCCTGGAGGCTCCTCCGTGGGAGCAGCAGCAGGCAGGTCGCACTTGGATATCACGTCGATCCACACGCGGTCGGCAAATCTTGTCTTTATCTCGCTGTACAATTGATACTGGCAAGGGTAGGGGAATGGTGATTAAGTGCAAAGGCAGCAAGTGCAAGGAGCAACAAATGCAACGAGGCCAATAAGGGTAAGCTGGAATGAGGAACAACTGACTGCATGAAAGGTGAAATTGGGTAGAGCACGGTGCAGTGCGGTAGGATGGACTGTGGAAAACAAGGTAAACATAGCTGCACTCCTCACCTGCTTCAACCGGTTGACACCGCACTCCTCCGAGGGGTCATGAACGAAAAGCACAGCCGTGGGCAGATGGGTGATGGCTGCTATGGTGAGCAGCTCTATGCTGTTGCGCTGCTCTGGGGATGAGGGCAGGGAGGGGGCAGGGCGAGCACAGGGCAAGGCCAGCGCGAGGGCAGGACGGGAAGAACGGTGCATGGGAAACGGGAGCAGAGCAAGAGTATGGGCCATGTAATACGGCAGTGGAACATGGGCAGTGGAACATGGGCAGTGGAACATGGGCAGTGGAACATGGGCAGTGGAACATGGGCAGTGGAGCATGGGCAGTGGAAGATGGGCAGTGGAGCATGGGCAGTGGAGCATGGGCAGTGGAGCATGGGCAGTGGAGCATGGGCAGTGGAGCATGGGCAGTGGAGCATGGGCAGTGGAGCATGGGCAGTGGAGCATGGGCAGTGGAGCATGGGCAGTGGAGCATGGGCAGTGGAGCATGGGCAGTGGAACATGGGCAGTGGAGCATGGGCAGTGGAGCATGGGCAGTGGAGCATGGGCAGTGGAGCATGGGCAGTGGAGCATGGGCAGTGGAGCATGGGCAGTGGAGCATGGGCAGTGGAGCATGGGCAGTGGAACATGGGCAGTGGAGCATGGGCAGTGGAACATGGGCAGTGGAGCATGGGCAGTGGAACATGGGCAGTGGAGCATGGGCAGTGGAACATGGGCAGTGGAGCATGTGAACTGGATGAGTGTGGCAATGTGGTTAAAAGAGCTGTGCTGCTGCAATCATGTGGTGATGCAGAAGAGCTTGCAGAAGACGGAGCAGGGAGGGTGCAGGAGAAGGAACAGGAGAGGGAGCAGGAGAGTAAGAGCATCAGAATACAAGACAGAACCAAGAATTCAAGAAAAGAGAGCACTGGGAGGAGGAGGAGGAGGAGGAGGAGGAGGAGGAGGAGGAGGAGGAGGAGGAGGAGGAGGAGGAGGAGGAGGAGAGCGGGTACCATCAGGGCGGGAGAGCAAGCCTGGTGTGTCTGTGACCTGACAGTAAACAGTAAGAGGATTGGAGGAGCAGAGCAAGGCAGAAAGGGATTAAATGGCAGCAGAACCGTTTTGAGGAGCACCGACAGAAGCAGCAGCAGAAAGGAGCAAGGATGGTGGTGAGAGCGAGACAGAGAGCCGGCTCCATAACTGGAGGTAAGTCACACCCTACACCTGTAAAATCCCCGCTGCATGCTCACAGGGAAGCTATGATAACACAAGATGGTGCAGGTGTAAGCAATGCACCATGCACCGTGCACGATGCACCATGCCCTACGCCCCATGCGCAATGCACGCGCCATGCATGCACTGACCTGGTGCTTCTGGCCTTCCACATGGAAGTGCCCCATGCACCACACGCCCCATGCGCTATACACCATGTAACGCCATGCATCGCATGCACTGACCTGGTGCTTCTGGCCGTCCACATAGAAGTGCCCCATGCTGATGCCGCGCGTGGTGAATGGGTAGTTGCACACCTGCATGCATGGAGACATGCAGCCATGCAGCCATGCATGCACACAGACATGCATGCATGCCGACATGCAGGGTGGAGGAAGACAAGATGAGCGGAGTGGATGGATGGATGCACATGGGAAGCAGACGCACGTTCACACACACCCAACCCAACCACATACGCACACACACTCCCCCCACCCACCCACCCACCCACCCACCCACCCACCTCGGGCTTGCCAGTGGAGATGGCGCGCACGAGGGACGACTTGCCCACACACACATTCACATACACGCACAGGCAGCCCTTTCTTCATCCTCCCCCCTCCGCACACGCACATACATCATCCACGCACCTCAGTCTTGCCAGACGAGATGGCGCGCACTAGTGATGACTTGCCCACATTGGGCGCCCCCACCAGGCACAGCGTGGGCAGGTCCGGCCGAACCACCGGTATGGCTCGGAGCCTCTGAGTAACATGAAAGGAAGGGTGGGGGTCGGGGGAGCAGGGAAGGTAGCAGGAGAGGGGGGGAGGGGGGCAGGGAGAAGAGTGATGGCAGGCACAGCAAACACAGCAGGCACAGCGCAGGCAGGTCCGGCCGAACCACCGGTATGGTTTGGAGCCTCTGAGGCATAGAGGAGTGGGGAGGGCAGCAGGGAAAGAAGCATGGAAGGCACAGGGAAGGGAACAGCGGAGGGAGCAGGGAGAATAGTGATGGCTGGCACACCAGACACAGCGTGGGCAGGTTTTTGAGTCGACTCAGAAATCGCCTCATCACACGCGTAGTGATGGCTGGCATACCAGACACAGCGTGGGCAGGTTTTTGAGTCGACTCAGAAATCGCCTCATCACACGCGTAGTGATGGCTGGCATACCAGACACAGCGTGGGCAGGTTTTTGAGTCGACTCAGAAATCGCCTCATCACACGCGTAGTGATGGCTGGCACACCAGACACAGCGTGGGCAGGTCCGGCCGCACCACCGGCATGGCTTGGAGCCTTTGAGGCTCGGAGGAGTGGGCAGGAGGAGCAGGGGGTAGAAGGGGCGAGGAGTGATGGCGCAGCGAGGGGTTTGAGAGCAGCAGCGAGAAGCGTGATGGTACGCACAGCAGGCGTGGCGTGGCGGCAGGGTAACTTGAGACGGCCGCAAACGCGTTTGGCCACTATGACAGTATGACACCGAGCTGCTATGCGGGGCTTACCAGAAAAATAGCAGCAGAACAGAAGCGCGCGAGTCACTGACCTGACTTCGGTGATGTCTTCGAGTCGCCCCCACCAACCAAGTGATTGTTGCGACTTAGAGTCGACTCTCGGTATGACTTTTGAGAATTCTCAAAAGTACCACCGACCAAGTGATTGTTGCGACTTAGAGTCGACTCTCTCAAGTCCATTGCTGTGCCCAGCTGTCAGCACGCACTGACCTTGGTGATCTCTTTGAGCCTCTCCACCACGTGGCTGTTGCGCGTGTACAGCTCCTCCACCTGCGCCATGCCCTGAGCAAGAGCGGTGAAGCAAGGAGAGAAAGCAAGAAAGGGAAAGTGGGCGCCGCAGAGAGGCTGTTGCGCGTGTATAGCTCCTCCACCTGTGCCATGCCCTGATGGGTGTGGCTGGACGTGGGGTGGGGCAAGGAAGAACGAATCAAGGAAGGGGAAAGTTGGAGCCAGGAAGTGGCTGTTGCGCGTGTACAGCTCCTCCACCTGCACCATGCGTTGATGAGGTGAGGGGTGGAGCAGGGAGGGAAAACAACGAACGGGAAGCTGGAGATGGGAGGTGGTTGTTGCACAAAAGGAGATGCAAGGAGAAAGGAACGTGGAACGATCTAGTGTTTAATACGAATAAGAAGTTCCGGTTTGGAGTTTTTTGTTAAACAACAAGTGCTGAGTAAAAGAAATCGAAAGCCAGGAGGGTAGTCACACAGACAAAGGGTGAAGGTAGGCAGTTCAAGGCCCCATGAGAGTACCTGTGCTGTGCTGCTCTAGCAGCTCTAAGGGAACTCTCATGCTGCCTGTGCTGCAAGTGCAGACAGTACCTGAGAGTACCTGAGAGTACCTGAGAGTACCTGAGAGTACCTGAGAGTACCTGAGAGTACCGGAGAGTACCTGAGAGTACCGGAGAGTACCCGAGAGTACCTGTGCAGTGCAGCTCTAGCTAGCAGCTTTAAGGGAGCACGAGAGAGTACCTGTGTGGTGGCCTGCTCCGCCTCCTTCACTGTGCTCGTCTGCACGGGACGAGGCGGTCAGACAAAGGGGTTACACACTGTGAGCGCCAGCCTGGACAGCAGTCAGGGATGGGACATGTGCAGTGCCGTCACATGTGCAGCACCGCACAGCACCGCACCGTACAGCACAGCACAGCACAGCACAGCGCAGCACCGTACAGCACAGCACAGCACAGCACAGCACAGCACAGCACAGCACAGCGCAGCACAGCACCGCACAGCACAGCACCGCACAGCACAGCACAGCACCGTACAGCACAGCACCGTACAGCACAGCACAGCACAGCACAGCACAGCACAGCACAGCACAGCACAGCACAGCACAGCACAGCACAGCACAGCACAGCGCAGCACAGCACCGCACAGCACAGCACCGCACAGCACCGCACAGCACAGCACCGCACAGCACAGCACAGCACAGCACAGCACAGCACCGTACAGCACAGCACAGCATAGCGCAGCACAGCACAGCACCGCACAGCACAGCACCGCACAGCACAGCACCGCACAGCACAGCACAGCACAGCACAGCACAGCACCGTACAGCACAGCACAGCATAGCGCAGCACAGCACAGCACCGCACAGCACAGCACAGCACCGCACAGCACCGCACAGCACCCACCTTGTTGACAAGGCTGGCAGCATTCTTGCCCACGTCCAGCACCCTCTTGCGCAGAGCGTCCACTCGAGAGAGTACCTGGCGGGACAGCACAGCACAGCCAGATGGGAGCAACAGGCCAGAGGCGCATCCAGAAAGCCATTGAGACCAGGTGCGTTTTGAGTCGACTCATTACGTTCTTGCCCACATCCAAGATCAATTTCAACACCTAGTAAAATCTTTGACACCCTCTTGCGCAGGGCGTCCACGCGAGAGAGCACCTGGGGGCGGATTGGTGAACGGTAGAAGTGGGAGAAGTGGGAGGGAGTAACAAGGATCTAAGAAAAGCCGAAGACCACAAAAAGGGAAGGCAGTGGGAAGAGCAGTTGGAATGAGGGGGCGGAAGGCAGAGGTCAGGCATCTTAGGAACAAATAGTGCTTGCCTCGTGCACGCCTTCCCCCTCACCTCCTCATAGACCCCCGCCTTCTTCCCAGGGTGAGCTCCACTCCACCAGCTGTCGCGTACAGCTGGGGGCAGCGGGGGGAGCGTGGCACAGACAGACAGGCCAGCCCAATGGCCTCCCCCCACACAAGCCAGTGCAACCCTCATCATGAATGCCAACATCTCCACCCTCACCTCCTCACCGCCTCACCTCCTCACCGCCTCACCTCCTCACCGCCTCACCGCCTCACCGCCTCACCTCCTCACCTCCTCACCTCCTCACCTCCTCACCGCCTCACCTCCTCACCTCCTCACCTCCTCACCTCCTCCCCTCCTCACCTCCTCACCTCCTCACCGCCTCACCTCCTCACCGCCTCACCGCCTCACCGCCTCACCTCCTCACCGCCTCACCTCCTCACCTCCTCACCGCCTCACCTCCTCACCTCCTCACCTCCTCACCTCCTCACCTCCTCACCTCCTCACCGCCTCACCTCCTCACCTCCTCACCTCCTCACCGCCTCACCTCCTCACCTCCTCACCTCCTCACCTCCTCACCTCCTCACCTCCTCACCTCCTCACCTCCTCACCTCCTCACCGCCTCACCGCCTCACCTCCTCACCGCCTCACCGCCTCACCTCTTCACCTCCTCCCCTCCTCCCCTCCTCACCTCCTCACCTCCTCACCTCCTCACCTCCTCACCTCCTCACCTCCTCACCTCCTCACCTCCTCACCTCCTCACCGCCTCACCTCCTCACCGCCTCACCGCCTCACCTCCTCACCTCCTCACCTCCTCACCTCCTCACCTCCTCACCTCCTCACCTCCTCACCCCCTCACCTCCTCACCTCCTCACTGCCTCACCGCCTCACCGCCTCACCTCCTCACCTCCTCACCTCCTCACCTCCTCACCTCCTCACCTCCTCACCTCCTCACCGCCTCACCACCTCACCTCCTCACCTCCTCACCTCCTCACCTCCTCACCTCCTCCCCTCCTCACCTCCTCACCTCCTCACCGCCTCACCTCCTCCCCTCCTCCCCTCCTCCCCTCCTCCCCTCCACACCGCCTCACCGCCTCACCTCCTCACCCCCTCACCGCCTCACCGCCTCACCTCCTCACCGCCTCACCTCCTCACCCCCTCACCTCCTCACTGCCTCACCGCCTCACCTCCTCACCCCCTCGTACACCCCATCGCCCAAAGAGCTCCACCAGGCAGCGCTCAAACGGGTGCGGCTGGGAGCAGCGGAGAAAGAGGCGCACAGTCAGACAGTCCAACCCCACCCTCACCGCCTCAACCCCTCTCCAGCCTCACCAGCTCACCTCTTCGTACTCGCCCTCGCCCAGGGTGAGCTCCACCAGGCAGCGCTCGAAGGGGTGCAGGTGGGAGCGGGGGGGGAAGAGGCGCACGTAGCGACCCAGTGGACCGCTGATCTCCTGCGGAATGAGGGCAGGCAGGGAGAAGGGTTGAGCGGTGAGGGGTTAAGGGTTTGGGTTTACAGGGTGAGGGGTTGAGGGGCGTGGACAATGCGCGAGGGGCAGAGGAGTTGCATGTGATGGAAGATGGAACAGCTGAGGATAGGATACTGGGAAAAAAGGAGTGAAGTGAACATGTGGGCAATGCGTCTCTTATACAATGTGCATGAGCACATGTAGCAACCAAGCCGTATAACCAGGAACGGCATACATGAGATATACATGCCCCACCTGCGTGCGACACACGCCCCACGTGCCATACATGCCTTGGTAAGGCAGTCCAGTTGTTGGGCGCCTTTGCTCCTCTCTCTCTTCGCTGCATTCATGATGCCTGCACCCACCCACGCATGCACGCACCCACCCACACATGTACCCACCCAATCCACCCACCCACCAACCCACCCAGTCACCCACCCAGTCACCCACCCAGTCACCCACCATCAATGAAAAAAGGTTGTAGGATGAAAGCAAGTCCCGTACATGCGTCGTGCACAATGCATCAACCGAATTCGCAACATGGACTTCTGGGTTTCAGGTTTAGGGTTTCGGGTCTGAAGTTTTAAGGTTCACACATCAGGTGACCAGCTCAACTTGTCAGAACCGACGCCTGAGAGTGTATGTGCGCGTGAGGGAAGGAGGTGAAGGGAGATAGTAGGGTTAAAATCATGAAAGCAACGGAGGAAGGATCACCACGCACAGCACGCCGCCGCTCACCTCTACTGGCGCGCACGTGCTTGGCGCGGCGCAGCGCCGTGCCGATGATTTCAGCGGCGGGCGACACGGCGGGCAGCTGCTGCAGCGCGCCGATGGCGTACTGCCGCTTGCTCTGGGGAGGCGCGGAAGCGGGGGCGGCGGAAGAGGCGGAAGAGGCGGAAGTGGGGGAAGCGTTGGCGGAGGATGAGGGGGAGGATGAAGGTGAGGGGGAGGATGCGGGGGAGGGTGTGGGGGAGGGAGGGGAGGAAGCAGCTGTTTCGCCTGTGTTGTCGGCGCCTTCAACGGCGGCGATTGCGGCGGATTTGGTGGCACGGAGCGGAGGCGCGGAAAAACGACGGAAGGGAAGGGACGGCGAGAGAGGGAGAGAGATGCGGAACGAGTCGATGCGTGCTAAAGCGGCGCCATGCGTGGCGGCGACATGGGGGGCGACACGGGGACCAGTCGCGGCGTGCATGGCGGTTCTGTCAATCGCTTGTCGCCGTGCGGCATAGCTTATGCGACGCTCGACGACGGCGGTGACGGGGACGACAAAACTAAGTCGAGCGGTAAATCGCTCGCCGCAAACGAGTCGCGAGGAGACACGTGTACGCGCGTGAAAGCTTCGAGCGCGAATGATTTTCAAACGAGTACTTCTAGGGTTTTGACTTCTATTCTGGCTCCAAGGCAGCAACGCTAGCGTCGGCTCCACGTGGCGGCATGTGAGCCGCTGGCATGTGAACCGCACAGCACCGCTTTGCGCGGCGACTTGCATGGCAGCACACGGGTGGAGCTGACAGACCAACTAAGCGTGCGGGCGTTGAGATGAAAAGGTAACCAGGAAAAGAAAGAAAGGTACAAGTGCGGAAGTACAAGTGCGGGAATTGAAGGCGAGCAGATTTGGATGGGGTGCCAAAATCGTAGAAATGCGTCTGTTCGCTCCTGTTTCGTTATGGGAGACGGAAATTCAAATTCAAGATTTATCCTCTTTATCCTCTTTTAATTTGTCGCTTCCAAGGTTTACTTTCTGCAAAATGGTCATTTGGGTCAAAACATTAGTGTAAGAGACATACATGAATTATAAGCACGGGCATTTAAACGGAGGAGCCTCCCTCTTACCCTACCAGCCCAAAATCAACTGGAAACGAAAAAAAGGAGACTTAAATCACTGGGGCATCTGCACTCCGTCCACACAATGAATAATGAAAAACTTCCCCCTGAACAGAGCTGCGCTCTTAGGGCGTATCTTTGGTTCCGGTCATGAGCACTGTTCATTCTACTGTTTGGGTCATGCGGAAATTGCGCATGACCCGAAGTGGGCTGCCGAGCCGCGCGCGGCCCCAGCTTTGGGTCAATGTGCAAGGTGTTGGGCGACTGACGTGCACGACCCACCCCCAACCAATCACCTGGTTGCACGATTCACGCTAGACTGCCATCTTCCACGCGGTCGTCAGTCGAGTGCCACAAATTTGTGATGTACCGTATCCTACACCTCTGCACCCAACCACTCGGCAAATTGATCCCAGTGACCCAAGAATGTGTCTAAAATTTCCCGCGTCGCGCTCCCAACATTTGGGGATTCACGCCGACATTTTTTACGATTGGGTTTTTCGCTGGGTGTCGCATGGTTTTGCGTGGGTGTAGCAAATGATCTTTCGCACTGTTCAGACATCCCTCCATTGGATGCGACTGTTTTTTGGGGCGTATTTGTGGCGCGAAAAGCCTCGCGCCAATTAGGGGGTCGCATGAGTTCCGAGAACCCAAAGTGGTGTTTTGTGTTGTTCCGGGCATCCGCAATTCGCGCATGCCCGGAACAGTGCTCATGACCCGAACCTGGATACGCCCTTTATCTTTGCCTTCGCCCTTCCAAAAATCGGCCTCGGCCTAGGCTTCGGCTTCGGCCCCGGCCCTGTTGCCTTATTCACTGTGACGGTCACAGCCTTATCCACCCTGCGACCATTTCCGTCCGTTAAAACCGGAGCAGATGCCAGGCCATTCTCATCGGCATACACCCCGTTGAGGATATTAGCGCGAATCCACGGTGCGTAGGGGCGAACCTCTTGGCGCTTCAGATCTGGTCTCATCATGTTGTAGAGGGCGCCAGGGCCCGCGGAACAGATTGCGGTGTCTTCGGGCAGCAGAACGGTTTTGCCGTCGGCTGAGGCGAGGAACGCGTCCGTTGGGTTCCAGTTGGTCTTTGCAGCACATAAATTTAAATTGTGTGAGTTGTTAACTGAAGCAGCAACGGCAAGGGACGTGAAATATCGTGATCTCAAGAAGGGCAAAAAAAAAAATGCGAATCTGCAGAATATTTTAGTGCACGTAGGTACCCAGTTGAGGGATGAGATGGTCGAGAAACACGGCGCTGGCGCGATGTCGTCCATTCAGTTTAGGGTTCTTGAGCGCGTCTCGGGCCTTCTTCACCTCGACGATCAGCTGCTCCTTGTTGGGCCGCTTCGACGCAGCAGGCGCCAGCAACAATGCGAGCGTAATGGCAAGAACGAAAAGCTGCCGTGGGAACACCATGGTGCACGCACTAATTGATTGGAACGCTAAAATGGCGTGAACCTTTTGGGGAAGAGTCTGATATCCACGTTCTGAAGACAATTGACACTCCCAAATGGGTTGTGATGTGCGCGGTCGCGGTGTGGGAGTGGAGGAGAGCGGAACTTCTAAAGCGTTGGGGGGGAAAAGCTCCGGCAGGGTGGAGCTGCCACCGTGGCTTTTCCTAATCTGAAGGGTCACCAAAGGAGTAGTCACTCTCCGTTAGGTGTGCCCAAAGGTGTATTTACTGGTTTCGGTTTTTTCCATTAGATTGGAATGACCTCTAGAAATAGAGACAGAGTATTACAGCTTTTTATATATATCACCATCTTTGGGCACCTGCCCGTAGAAGGCATATAGTACACAGAAAGTTACGGGCACTGCGGATTTTATCTTCGTGTCCCTGCAAGACGGCTCCAGCTGGCTGCCGAACGGAACACAAGTGACCGGTTTGGTTTGGATGCTACACGTGCTGCAGCTTGCGCAAACCTGGTGTGCTGCTCGCTCCAAGCTGGTGTGCGCTGGTGCACGTCAGCTCGCGCTAATGCGCGCGCCTTGGGCCAGTGCCGAGGTCAGAGCTATGCAAAATGCTGCTGTCAGTTACACACCGAAGTTTTCGTTCAGGGCACAACAGTGGGTGTGCTTGGTTGGTACACCCAAACTCGGCTAGAGTACACCTGATTGTTTCTCCCATTTCACCACTTTACACCTTTGGCCCGTCAAACCCTTGAAATCGATGTCACTTTAGGTGACGGTTTCTTTCAGATTACATATTCGTGCTTCGCCGGTTTTTTGTGACCAGAGGCATAAAACGAGTTACCAACCACGTAAAAACATAGCTTATTGGTGACTGTACGCTTTATTGAGCTCCATGTTAGCGACCATTCGTCATTTTTCTCTCATATTTTCAACTAGTTCCCTCAATCACAGACTCGACTTCCTTCCATTTCATCCCAGCATCCGCGCACTTCTTCGGTCTGTCAGCTTCAACTAAGCTCACAGACCACCACCTAAAGCTGGCGCTAGCGTTGTTTCTCAGGAACCAGATTAGGAGCCGAAATCCTAAAACAACTCGCGCTCAAGGCAATCGCTGGCCGACACGTGTCCCTTGGCGACTCGGCAGCGACGGGCGACTTCCCGCTCGTCTCGGCCTCGTCGGGGTCGTCGCCATCGCCGCCGTCGTCGAGCATCGCTTAAGCGATGTCGCACGGCGACGACCAATTAACGGAATTGTCGTGCACGCCGCGACTGGTGCTGTGTCGCCGTTACTGTCCATGTCGTCCCCATGTCGCCGCACCGCTGTCCCCGCACGCGAGTCAAACTCATTCTGCATCTCTTTTCCCGCTCTCGCTCTGACATTCCGTTCCGTCGTTTTCCCGCCCCGCCTACCCTCGCCACCTTCCGGGTCACGAGCGCTGAATCCGCCGCAACCGCCACCGTGTCGCCCGCTGCTGAAACCAGCGGCACGGCGCAACGTCACGCGTTCCACGCACGTGCGCGCGAGCAGCGGTGAGCGACGGCGGCAAAGACGAGCGCATGGGACCTACATTTGCTGTGCGCAAGCAGAGTTGAGCGGCGTGGTGCTTGCAGCGACGGGTGCATGGTGGTGATCCGTGTGTAATAAGTTGGTTTCTAGTCGACTCAAAAATGGACTCATCACACACGGGTGCATGGTGGTGATCCTTTCTCCATCTCTCTGTCGCTTCCTCGTCCCATCCCTCTGTCCCTCTAGCGCTGCGCCGCGCCAACGCCAAGCCCGTGCGACCGTGCGCCCGTGCGCGCAAGCAGAGGCAAGTGGCGGCGCAGTGCTGGCAACAAGTTCGTGCTGGTCCGTGAGAAGATTTGAACAAGAATGAATGAACTATGAATGAAGTGAGTACATATAGGAAACCCTAATTGGGTTGTACCCCCTATGGGATACCCCACTATAGCCTACACAACAGCATAAGCTATATATATGTTCTGACACACCCCCATAGGCAAAGTGGGGGAGAACAAGGGGTCACAAGACCAGTCACGCAAAGCACAGCAAGCTCAGGGTGGATCACAAAGTCACCACACAGTCCGAGCACAACGACAAGGCCACAAGGCCAGTTCACATGCAGGAGTGCACATATATATATAGAGCTAGACAAGCAAGAGCAAATATATATGTGACAGTACAAGCAAGGTCAAGAGGAGAGCAAGTGAGGCAAGACAGGTACAAGACCCAGCTGAGTGCAGAAGCGCTGATGGTCACAAGGCGCAAGTGCCTTGGTGAACACATCAGCAGTGTTGGCCTCAGAGGCCACGTACGCAAGTCGCAACTGACCACGCTGCTGCAGCTCACGAGCAAGAAAGTAACGGAGATCAATGTGCTTCGTTCTGTGCTCCAAGCGCTGCTCTCGACACAAGGCCAGCATGGCCTTGTTATCTACGTACAGCACTGGAGGAGAACGAGGCGGCTCTCCAAGGTCAGTCAGCAGGTAGGTGAGCCAGCGAAGCTCCTGTGCAGCCATGGCCCCGGCGTAGATCTCAGCCTCACAACTGGAGCCGAGAACAGAGGACGAGCGAGTAGCCCGCCACGAGACAGAGCCGGAACCAAGACTGAAGGTGTAACCCTGCGACGACCGCTGCGTAGCCTGGTCGTCAGCCCAAGAAGCGTCCGCGTGCCCAGTGAGGACCACTGGACTCCGCCCTCCAAGCACTAGCCCCATGCCCGACGTACTGCACAAGTAGCGCAACACCCTCTTCGCTGCAGCCATGTGCTCTGGTCGGTGTCTCCCAGGAGCAACATAGCGTGCAAGAATGCTAAGAGGGTATGCAAGGTCAGGTCGTGTGCAGGTCATCAGGTACATGAGGCAGCCAACAAGCTCTGGGTACGGGCCACTCGACTCTACGGACTCATCCGAAGGCAGAGCTGAGAGCGAGTGGCGAGTAGACAGAGGAGTGGCC